TCACTTTTTGCGTGGACAAACAATGCAAAGCCGTAAAATGAACCATGAAATAAGGCCTACTCACGTAAGAAAGCGCGTGAGTTAGACGAAGACAGATAATCTCTCCTTGTCTCACCACAGGCAAGCAGACAGGCACGAGTTAGCGACAAACGCCACACTGACAATTCTTGCGTGCCATTTATAAATAAAAAGATATTTATTGCAAACAGCACTTGAAATCGCTTAAGTGCATTCAATAAAAGTTCCGAGTTCTCACTTTTTGCGTGGACAAACAATGCAAAGCCGTAAAATAAGGCTTTGCATTGTTTGCCCACGGAAAAAATTAGAACTCGGAACTTCTTACAAGTGTACTTTAGCGATTTCAAATCATGTTTGTTATAAATATTTTTTATTTTATAAATAGCACGCAACATTTGCCAATGTGCCATTCATATGTGACTTGGGTCTGTCATCGCCTAAGGCATGGTGTACGATACATATTGTCAGTAACAATTTACCGTATCCGATCGTTGTAACCATACCCGATCATTGTAATAATCGACTATGATTAGCCAATTCTTACGATTTACTCCGTACATTGCAGATAAAACTTTTGACCTTGTCAATGGTAGGAGTAAAGTACGGACTGTAAGAAACTTCTTTTAGTCCGTACTTTACTTCCATTATAGACAAGCGGTAACAGATAGAATGATTATGGAATTTGTCTGTTGATTGACAATCACGTCGCCGTGTCAATATATCTTTGTTTACCATTAGCGAGCACTAACTTTTCTATACATTTCAACATGCTTGAAAACGCCGACGAAATACGTACGCGTGTACATGTACACAATAATAGAACAATAGCACTTATAATTTTAACAAAATTATTAATATAAAAATCTACAATTAATTATACATGATTATGAAAAAAAAAGTGTGAACAATAACGCATTAGTGATTGAGAGACTTACAACCAATTCTTACTTTCGCTGTCCAGTAAAGAAAACATAATTATTGCAATATTATTATTATTCTTCAGTTACATGTAATTATTATTCTTCAGTTACATGTCGCTGTTCAGTTTCAAAATTTGTTTCTAATTTATTACAAATTTTACATTCAACATCTTTATAACCTTGAGCCTAATCTTAACATTTTGTTAATATGGACTTTATATATTGTTATAATGTCTATCCCAATATTGCATTAAGGCTCCTGGCCCCTCGTATCATCTGTCTCTTTTTAATAATGTCAGAAGCGAGAAAATACAATACTACAAATACTACAAATTCTTGCGAAATACGTTAAAATAAAAATATATAAAGTAACACTTGCAATTATTGTCTCAGAAAATGTAAATTATCCATATTAAAAAATATTTAAAATACAAAATTGGACAATATTTAAAATACAAACATTTCAAAGTGATGAAAATGTACTTTTTAATCGCTCTAATTCCATAAATTTTCACCAAATCTTCGTCTATAAAGTATGTATTCATAATTGTAACATAAAACTTGTCTCATGTGAGATATTCACATTTTATTCTTCACAGGTCAGTGAAAAAAATTCTTTTTGCACCTAAAAATCAATTGAGAATTCGTAACATATAACTGAATTTTTTTTAAATTCCATGTGCTATCTGGGAAAGTTGTAAGTTTCTTAGTTTCTTAGTTACCTATACGTTGTCCTAATTAAATTTTATCATATTAAGAATTTTGTTATATTTTTATTATATATGACGTTCAGAAAAACATTAGTACAATTATTATAAGTGCCCGCTGATACTTGGATTGGTACGAGTCATCACAAGTTTCCATACATATTTCTTTCTAGGTAAGGCATCGCGCGAAAAGAAGAACGGGTGAGAGAATGAATCATGTGTATATATATATGTGCATGTGTGTGCGCAAGCGAGAAGATCGCTGCTGGCTCGTGTCTGCTGCCGCGATTGTTAGCTCGCCAGTAGTCAGACAAGGACAGATAGATATTCGCTGTCCGTCTTTGTTTAACTCATACCAGTCGTAGCATGGAACAGAACCTCATCGCATTTATCATGTAGTTGCTACACTGGATAAGGTTGTGATTCTCACCACAGCTAACTATGGCTCTGCGGTCGATTCGGAGTTCTCGGCTCCGGGGCCAGGAGCCTTAAGATCTTTACAAAGAATAAATTTTGCCGGCATATGAAAAAATCATCTGAAGCTATAAACATTTCAGTAATATTGCAGCATATTCTGATGTCAATGGTAATGGATAAACATATCACAATTTGACATCCTACAGAATGGAATAAATTTTTTTCTTCGTAAATTTCATGATAACCATC